TACAAAGAGGTTATGTATCCTGTGTTTGAGGCTGGGGAGATTAAGTTTTATGTGCTTGAGACTGAACAATGTGTGTGTGTGTGTGTGTGTGTGTGTGTGTGTGTGTGTACACGTGCGTGTGTGCGCATGCCTGGGGTTGTTGTGAACATAAGTATTTTGGATTTTAGATCTTTTTATTCGCAAGTGGGAGCACCTCTTTCTTTTCCATTTTTACTGTGTGGCAAAGTACTAATGATTGCACGACAGAAAACAAAGTTGTGCTCTGACCTGTGAAAGCTTGAGACAAACCTTGCTACTTATCTTTATAAACACTATATATTTTTATCTATCAAATTATCTATCAAATTTTTCAGAGAAATGGTATTTCTGGGCTAAAAGATGAAAAATTAATCTGAAAATTGAGACTACCATTCTGTTTTTCTATGCAGCCTTTGATGTATTGTGCAACAACAAGTCTCAGAAAAGTGTAGCTGAACCATAGGTTTAAACTTCCTTATTCATCATTCATCTTAGGATAGGTACACTAGGTAAACTACGGTCTGAACACAGTAAACAACAAAGACAGACAAAAAAATTCCTGGCTTATAAATCCTTGACCATTCCTATAGTTCATAAGTAACTACAATGATCTAAACATTATGCATGTAATGGGAGAAATGATTGTTACATCATATTCTCATACACATGCAATTGAAATTTACATTCTTTCTCTGTAGGAAAAGGACAGCTCTTAACTTAGGGCAATTTCTATTTGGAATAATGTCCCAACTCAAAGGGGAAAATAATTTTAAAAATTTAGATACATATAATCATATTTTCAAGAGCATAATTTGAATTTGAAATCTCATTCAGGATTTTATATGACATCAGTACCATACTAATTTGATTTCCTTTTCCCCCTCTCACCTTCTTTACTCTGTCTTCCATTGTGATGGACGTTGTGTGTATCCAGATAATCCTTTGAAGGCCTTGCCATTTAACTGCTGGCAGTGCTTTTTATGGACAACCCTCCATTCTCAGTCCCCTTTGGAGATTGTTCATCTTGCTTCTGCTCAATTCTGTCTTTCACTGCCATCCAGTGGATGCTGACTCATAGCGACCATATCAGACAGGGTATAACTGCCTCTGTTAGTTTCTGAGAGTGTAACTTTACTGGATTAGAAAGCCCCATCTTTCTCTGCGACATGACTGCTGGTTTCGAACTGCTGCCCTCACAGCAACCCAACCCGTAAGCATTATGCCATTAGGACTCCTTCCTAGGGTCACTCTAATCTCATTACTATTGAGTCTGTAGTAATGGTCAACTTCTCCTTTTGCCCAATTCTGGTGCCATGGTACAGATGCTGATCCCACTGGATCAGTAAATATTTTTCATACCAGATGTTTCCGAGCCTGTTTCCCAGAGACTCAAACAATGCATAGCTTGTGTTAATACTTGGTCAGGAAAGTTAATACTTTCCTTTTGTCTGGAATTGTATTCCTGAATAGTTAAAAAAAAATATATTGGGCAATTGGTATGTTTCTCCTATGGTTCAGAAAATAATTTTCCTGTTTTTAGCAACCCCTAGTATCCTAATGTCTTCCTTTTGGTGTGTTTTACCTCCTTCATTAACATTCCTAGCCTATCTCTCCATTGCCTTTTATGTTTTTATACTATAATGTAAAAGGTAGCATAAGGAGCTTTGGTGTCATAGTGGGTTATGCGTTGGGCTGCTAACCATAAGGTCAGCAGTTCAAACCCACTAGCCTGCTCAGTGGGAGGAAGATAAGGCTCTTTGTTCCCATAAAGATTTACCGTCTTGGAAACTCACCAGAACAGTTCTATTCTGCTCTGTGAGGTCAATATGAGTCAGAATTGATTTCATGGCAATGAGATATTAATTTACTGAAAAAGGTAGAGATCATCATCTACCCTTGGGAGATGTATGTGTCATTGTGTAGGTCCTAGCCAAAGTACATATGCTTAGTATTTACTGGGGTAACATACTATGATAGTTTATCAGGTTTGTAATTATATGTGTAGGATATTTTGTAAAGTATTTTAACAATTCCTAAAATAAGGTAGAGGTTGCAGCTATCACCGTGTTAGTGGAGGCTTCCATGCTGCCATGATGCTGAACATGTTTCAGCAAAGCTGCCAGACAAAGATGGACTAGGAAGAAAGGCCCGGCATCTCCTTCCCAAAATTAGTCAATGGACTGCCCTATGGATCACAGTGGTCACATCTGCATTCAGGCATAGGGATGGCGCAGGATTGGGCAGCATTTATTTCAACTGTGTACGGGGTTGCCATAAGTCAGAGGTAGACTTGATGGAGGCTAGCAACAGTAACAGTTATATACAGAGGCCAGGACAGACTTCTTAAAGGAGATGAAACTTGAGCTGATTTAGAAGGACAAATATCATTTTTTCAGGGGTGTAGATGTGTGTGTTAGGAGGGTAGAGTGGTGATGGAGGATGGAATATTGAGGTCCAAGGAATAATTTCTTTAAAGACCTTGTGACAGCAAAATAAGGGTGGAAAAGGAAACAATTTGGTATGGCTTATTGGCACAAGGTAAAGTGCTGGAAGAATAGACAAGAGCCAGGTGATTTATGTCATATCTTGAAGTTTACATTTTTCCAGCAATAAGAAACCATCGATATTATGTTTTGTCAATATGCTCTGAACTAATGTTATAATAAGGAGCCCTGGTTGTGTAGGACTGCTAACCACAAGGTCAGCAGTGTGAAACCAACATCTGGTTTCTGGCAGACAGATGAAGCGTTATGCTTTTTTTAGAGTTATAGTGCTTGAAACTCACAGGGGTAGTTCTACCCAGGCCTACAGGGTCTCTGTGAGTCTGAATCAACTCAGTGGCGTGAGGTGAGTTTGGTTTGGGGAGTATTATAGTAAATAGGTACAAAGGTAAGTTTTGAAAAAAAAAAAAAGTATTACTACTAGCGTTCCAATTTATACATGCACAGGTGTATTTCAAATAATACTTATTTTAAAATGTCCCTGAGATCAAGGGACAAGTTTTGATCTGCAGACAAGTTTTCTCAGTAATATAATTATCTTAGTTTCATTAAGGTGCCTTAAGAAAATATACTTTTGTGCCATGATAAAAATAATTGAGGTCAGAGCTAATATCAGATTTTTAAGCAAACTCAAGTAAACATCTTCAAAAATAATGGAAACTTGTCAACAAATGTGTAGGAATTCTGCCCCGCATCAAACAAGGTTTTTAAATGGGTCAAGGAAGGTCAGGAAGACCTCAAAGATGAGCCAAAAAAGAAGAGCATCAACCTCAACTGTGAAGAAACTAGTGAAACCCAGAAATTGTTGGAAGAATACTGTGGAATTACCAGTGACTATAGCAGCTAAGGTTGAAATCTCACTGGTTTAGCATTTTCAATTTTATTTGAACATTTTGGCCTCAGCAAGCTTCCTTCAACAATTTCTACTTCCTTTGCCAAAGTGACAACCTATTGGTATCAAAGTGGCACCAACTGGATGGGTCCCACACATACTGTGTGAAGATTAGCTAGTTACAAAAGTTGAACTTTCTGTTAATCTTTTAAGCCAAATTGAAGATTATCTTAATGGAATGAATTGTAATATGAGATAATTCATGGGTTTACCAAGAAAATCTAGAGAGCAACCCAATCAGATAGTGGCTCCTGAGGGTGAGGGGATATGCTGGTCTGGTTAGACCCCAGCAAAGATGTCAACTCAGAAGGCAGTGGTAACTTTTTTTTAGCATCTCAAGAGGTAACCTTGGAGACTTCTCAAAGCTCATCGGATAATCATTTGAGTTTAATAGGAAGACATTTTAAGAAAGCCGACTTGATTTGGTGGGGGAAAAAAAAAGGTTGGGAAAGTTCAACCCAATAATTTTTTTCTAATTCACTTGCCCATTTTTCAAGGGTAGCAAGGGCCACTTTATGACAATTTTGTTGGTAGAGCTTACTCCCATCTACTATACAGCTCTGAGCTGACCCCTTCAGACTTTTTTTGTTCCCCAAATTCAACATTTAAAAGGAATATGATTTTTAAGTTCCTAGAACATGCCCCATCTACCCAGGACTCCTTTGATAACACACAGGCATCAAGTATTTATCTGGTCTTTTAAAGGAAAACTTTGCTGGCCACTGACCTAGTAATTTTTGAGGATAAAATTATGCTTAAGCAAATGAAAATTTGTATTATACTCAAATTATTCCCCAGTATATCCATTGCTTAGGGAATCATTTGAATTTTCAATGATGTGTTAGAGCAGAAGCACTTGAAACCTCTCTGGGTGACATCTAGCAAGTAGAGCCAGTCTCATAAACAGGTACCTTCTTGAAGGGGCACATTTTGTGTCAAAGGGATACCAACCATTTTGAGTTTTCTTTTATATGAAACAAAATATTTCTTTCATTTTAAACCAGTTTGAGGTTTTTGTTTTTCAAAAAGTAAGCTTAATTTTACATTAGTTTTAGATTAAGAAAATGTTGCAATGATAGTAGTTACAGAACGCTTCTTGCATCCAGGGTCTCTTATTGGTAACATCTTACATAGTATGATACATTTAATGAAGTTCTTTTAAAAAATACCCCGTGCATATAAACCTGATAAGCTACCATACTATATTACCACAGTACCTACTAATCATATGAACCTGAGCACAATAATGGGTACATCTGCCTGGGGTAGGTAGTGTTCAAAAGTTTTGGTATATTGTGTTTTCATTCTCATGTGTTTAAAGGAATTTTAAAATTCCATTCTTCTTCACTTATCCAGCAGGTTTTTTTTAAAAACAAAGAAATTTTATTATAAAGAAAAGTAACAGTTTACTTATACTCAGAAAAACTGACTAAAGGACATTTTGTCTTAAACACTTTATTGTAATCTATTTGCAGTTATATTTAACTGAACTTTGTTGTTTTTAAGAATGCAGCTCATGCACAGATGTGGATGGATGATTTGTACATTTTCAAGTATTCATTGAATACTACCATATATACACATAAACATTAAACTTGGGGAAAAAGACATAATTGGTAATTCCTATTTAATTTTCTATTTTTTTTTTTTTGCCCCATTGGAAGTGGTTGTCTAAGGAGAAGAATATATGTTTCTGGCTCATAAATCATGTTACATACCCATCCTAGTCTTTGTTGAACACCAAGTCTCCTCCGCTCCTCTTTGGACATTAGATGGGTTTTGAGTACTTGCTTAGAAAGTTCTCTGGGTAACGTGACATGCTGGTATTCATAATGCTCATTTGAATATTTGTTCGAATAGTGTATTTGCTTGTGAGCCATCATGCTGGCAGCACAATGGGACTGTATGTAAGGATGGTACAGAATGAGACTAGCATCACAGATCTCCCTGCCAGGTAACAGCAACCAAACAGCTTATCCAGCAGTTTTTAAATAGGATATTGTTCAGTTTCCATGTGTTTGATATTTTCCCCCTTGATATTCTTATTGTTGAATTCTTATTTTAAAGTGTAATCTGAGAAGATCTTGGTTTGTAATATCTATAGATGTGCATTTAACTTTCTGAAAATATATTAATATGGTAAAGTATATGTTTTTTTTAAACTAATTAAGCCTTGCTTGTGTATCAGCATATGGTTAATTTTGGTAAGATGTTGGATGGAGTATTCTGTACATGGCTAGGAAATCAAGTCGATTAATTGTGTGGTTTAGTTCTTCTGTGTCTTTGTTTATCTACGTGTTTTCTAGTTGTTTTGCCCTTAAGAATGGTATATATAAAAAAAAAAGGTGTGTTGGAGTCTCATGTTACTATGTTGCCTACTTCTTCTTCAAACTTAGAAACATTTAATTAATGTGTTTTGAAGGTCTTTCATTGGATGCATAGATAAGCATTTTGGTTATGTCTTCCTATTTAGTTGTTCCTTTGATCATTATGTACTGTTCTTTTTTTGTCTTCATGGACATTGCTTTGAAGTTTATGTAAGATTAATATTGTTTCTCCTACTTAAAAAATGGTCACTAAATTGACATGTTTTCCCCCATGCTTTGATTTTTTTAAGTCTATCTTAACATACCATCTTTCCCTTTGCTCATGTTAAGACCAGTCCATTCTCAAGCCTATTGCTTAATCTCTTCTTGTTGCTTTCCCACCTTGGGTAACCATCAAGGTCTATTTCCTTTGGTATGAAAAACATTGTCTTTAGGTTTTCTTTTTAACAGTGGTTTCAAACAGTTTTCGTATTTTTGTGATTGGTTAATTTCACTCAGCATAATGTTCCAAACGTTTATCCATGCTTTGAGGTGCTTCATGGAGATAAATATCTTCTGTAATATTTTCCAGATTTAACTGAAGGCAGTGATTTTATGTATTTTCAGTAGAAGTTGAGTTCCATTGAACATGCTGTGAAGACATTTGTGAATTCCTATATATCTCAGTTCACATACTTGGTACATGAATTAGCAGAACTGCCACATAATATAAAAATATTTGAGGCTTAAACTAATGAAAATGGATAGGTCCTCTGATACTACATCTATTGCTTACTTAATAACTCATTATGTTATATTTTTCATTTACTAAATTACATTTATTTAATAAAAAGCTACCCAACAATTTTTACACATTAATATATGTCAGGTGTACTGCAATGTAATGCTGTCTATGATTTTTATGGTTGTCAAACTGGCAGGGCTATGAGTCTCAGTTGTTTGGCAGTTCTGTAATGCTGTAATTTGACAGTTTTCTAATGATGTGACCATCCTCTCTTGTGAACTGATGTGATCACTTTTTATTTTTGCATAACAACCTGTTTTTTTGAATTTAACTATGTGGATAAGTGAGGAGTGTGTGTATGAATTCCCTCAAAGTGTTTGGTTCTATCTAAGAAATTTTCATGACCCTTCTCCCCCATGCTTTACCATATTAATATATTTGCAGAAAGTTAAATGCACATCTATAGATTTCCTCTGTCAATCTATATTTGAGGAGGCTTCAAAAAGTATATGAAAAATTCTATTATCTTTTGATTCAACTTTTCCAAGAACTTTTTGAAGCTTCTTGTCTATTCATTGGCAGACTCACACTCTGCCTCCAATACCTGTTCAGTTTGAATGCTTATTCATGCAGCATAATCCACTGTTGTAGGATTGTGTATACAGCAATATACTGTATATCTTGGCTGCTTTTAACTCTTCCAAACCTATAGTGTTTTCTCCTACTCTCATCATTTTTGTGCTGACTCCTGTTTTACATATTGCTTCCCCCTTACCCAAGTTAACATCTGTCTGCCTTCTAGCTAGTAATTTACCTCACTTGTACCAATTGTGTTAGGGTTCTTTAAAGAAACAAAACCAGGACACATATGATTACGTGTGTGTCTCTGTGTGTGTGTGTGTGTATATACAGCGCAAAGGAATATAACAGCTAATTAGTTCACACAGTAGTGCAGAGGGCTCAGTCAACTCACGTCTGTGGAACAGTTAATATACTGGAAGTTCTTCAACTCACGAGGGCTGTTGGGTCCAAAGTCAAGGAAGCAGACAGATGAGTCTTCCCTAGAGCAATCAGGCAGTCCGGTCACAGGCAGCAAACAGCAGGACAGGTCACCAACAGCAGCCCAGGAGCTTAGTGAAGCAGCCCGGGTGGGATATTGAACTTAAGCAATGCAAGACAACAGGATCTGCCAGCCTCAAGCTCAAGAGATGTATATACCAGTACAGTAGCGCAGCGAGGCAGATCTCGAGGAACCTCAAGCTCTAGGGACGATCCATGGGTTGGCTGTCCAACAGGTAGTGTAGCTCACAAGTTGAGGCAGAGAACTAGCTAAAGCAGCTGCAGGCTGTTCCGATCACCAGAGAGCAAGAGAGAGGGGTGGGTCTTGCTGAGCCATTTATCTCTTTGCCCTCCAATCAAACTTTATTAATGTCACATGTTCTTATTGGTCAGGTTGGCACAGTAAATCTACCTATCATACTGGGTTAGAAGTATGTTAAGGGTCACTTGGTTGGTTGGTATCACAATCTCCACTGCGTTGTTTGTACACTGGGTGTTTACTTTCTAAGAACTTTTTTAATATGTTTATATTTATTATTGACATAATGTTTTCAACAATGAAACAGATTTACTGGGTTTAATACTTTATTTACATTTGTGTCAAATTGATGCGTCTCTGAATTTTGAGATTAGAAGGCCTAGAAGAAAATGAATTTGGATATATATTTGTCTCATTAAATGGATGTCAGCATAAATGGTAGGAAGTAAATGTAAGTGGTAATTTGAGGAAATTAAAATATGTCAAGATGACTCATCCCATAGACAGTGTTAATGCTAAGGTGAGAACATAGGACATGTGGTGAGAAGATGTGTATCATTGTTGTTTTGATATGCATCTCTCTAATGGCTAATGATCTTGAGCATTTCCTCTCCTGTTTTTTTGGCTGCCTGAATATCCTCTTTTGTGAAATATCTGTTTGGTGGTGATATAAGAAGGTTCCAGGCTCTTCACAACCTTGACAGCATTTGTTGTTTTCACTTTTTTAACTTTGCCAGGTTGAGATTATACCTGATTGTTATTTTGATTTGCTCTCTCTCAAATGGTTTATAATTGTGAGCATTTCTTCTCTTTGTTGGCTGCCTGAATGTTGCCTTTCATCAAGTGTTTCTTCATGTCCTTTGTCCACTCCTAGAGCATTTTGATTGTATAAGCACATGTCATTCTAATTGTATTTGTGTAAGTGTTACAATACTTAAAACATCAACAACAAAAACACTACCACTTTCCATTTAAATAGAAAGAGTGCACATCAGCTAATTTTCACGATCTGTGCAACGTTTGTTGGTCTAGGAGCAGGATATTTATAGTACAGGTTTTCTAGGATGTTTACAGTTATACTGTGTTATATGCTTTAGTATCTATAACTTCCTTCTGAAGTGTAGATTCATATAAATAAATACTAATACGTTAGTCAGGATAAATAATACTGAATTAAGTAGCATGGTTAGTAACAGTCTAAATTATATTAGTACAGCTTTAATGAGAATAATTTGCTACAACAGACCAAAGAATTCTAAAATAAGTAAAAGAAGATGGTGACTTACCTTTATTCAGATTATTAGAACTCTGTGTCAACAAGAAACGAAAACTTTCAACATACAAATTAAAAAACAAAGCAAACTTACTGCCATTGAGGCTATAACTGCCCCCTGAGTTTCTGAGACTTTAACTTTTTATAGGAGTAGAAAACCTCATCTTTCTCCCATGGAGCTGATGGTTTCAAACTGCTGACCTTGCAGTTAGCAGTTCAATACATAACACACTAGGCCACCAGGGCATATTTGGCAACAAATTAGATCATGTATGGAACAGTACTCTTCAGCAGCTCTCTGTTTTTTTCTTATGTGAGGGCACTTTGATCAATTAAAGGTATTTGGTCAAAAACATTAAAATGCTTGGATAAATTGTATATAAACCAATATAATTAGAAAAGTATCATTAGACAAATAAGTTAACTGCTATTTATGCCTGTTTTCCTAGTTATAAATTGTGCAAAATGATAGCATATGCTTTATAGAGTTAATGCAAAGATGGAGTGATTGAACATACAAAGTGCTTAGTACCATTTCTGGCCTGTAGTAAGCTTGAGTTATTGCTGTTGGCATCACCATCACTTACCATCTCCTTGAAGACTGTGTTTCTAAGTAAGTGAGACAGTAGGTCCGCGGAAAGCACAACGTACAAACAAAAGGTAGATCTTTAGCCTGCAGTTAATTCTACCAATATTTGAACCACTGTGTATTGTGAATTTAAGAGGGGGGCGGGTTGCTTAGTGGTATATAAGGAGACATTTTCCTATACTCAAAAACGTCATATCAAAATAAAGCAGAAAAGTAAAACTGAAGTGGAAAACCATTATAAACCTTTGGTGATGTAGCAGGGTCCTCATTCAAAGGGACCTTGCCTTCCCCTCATTCAAGAGGTTGTGGGTCTGTAAATTGGCTCAGGTCTGGGAATTGATTGAGTGATCGTGACTGTATATTCTACTGTTCACCTGATCTAGCATTCTTCTGCCTGTATAGATCACGTAAATATTTAGTAGGTTTCCCATGTATTTCACTCCTGGGGACACCGGGGCTAAGGAGCCAATGCCATAAGTCCACATGAGACAGGTTGCTTTGATTACTACGGGAACCTTGCTGTCTATTATAACCACGCCCATCCTGACTCTGTTGAGTCAGTGCTGACACCTGCCCTCTACCACAACAGGGCCTGATCAGCCCCACTGTGGGCAAATGTTGGAGTTCATTTAGGACAGTTCCCACTTTT